AGTAATACCCCAGTAGCTGTTCCCGCTCAAAGGGATTCCGATTCCGAGTAAACACCGAAAGGTTGAAGATCTAATCGGCCCGAGAGAATTTCGATCGAGCCTTCAGACCATCCTTGTGGCAAGCACTTTCTCTAGCGCTGGCGCCAACTTTATTCACTCATACCCCTTATCAATCGATATGAAGAAGACAGTTTCAGCTTGCATTATTTCACTTTGCCACTTGAAAAATATCCACGCGTACCACCTATCTCTCTTGCGTTTATTTGGTATTTTTAGGCACCTCCTCTGATGACAGCCACAGCAAAGACGTCCAATTTCAATTCTAAGACAGGCCAATTTCTCGTCACTTGTACGAAATTGGAACGTACATTTTGTGTAATTAATCCGACGAGTGGAGGTGAAGTAGCGGCAAGTGGCGCTACCTACCACGGCACAGCCCGGCGGTTTGAAACTCGGGTCGACTCGTTTTCGATCCAGTCGAACTCTACACTCCCCTAGGATCAGCTGGGGTCAGACTTGTCCGGGGGTACAGACACCGCTTCTATACCGATAGGTATTCGCAAGTGGCCTTACGATTCAATTGGGCCAAGTCGCTACGGTTCCTAATGAAAGTGGAACGCATGGCTTATCTCAAAAGCCAAATGCTTTGAGTACTATTCTCATGCTGGAAGACGGACTCCATGCCGCATTTCACCGACCGTGCGCCGCCTGTACCCAAGTAGATCTTGGCACGAGTTACGGGCATTCTGCTTAGCCCTGGACTAGGTTTGAGCATCATAGGAGTTGCCATGCTTCGCTAGAAGAACAAAAGAGAATGGAGGAATTAAATTCATTGAATTCCTCTCTGAAGTATAGTTTATGATATGTGGCAGATTATACCGGGTCACGAACAAATGGTTCACCTCGCCTTCACTCCCCTCCCCCCACTTCACCGAATCCCACCATTGTTCAAGAGTTCAGTGAAAAAATCATGAAAATGAATGAACATAATAAAAACCCACATTTATTGATTGTCATCAATATGCTGCTTGTCATCGGTGGCATTCGTTTTCGTGTCAGATCCGTAGAGAATAATTTACTAGAGTTGCCGCTCAAAAGCAAGGCGTTTAAATTTAAGGCGTCTTCAGCTTGAATCACCTAAAAGCGTACGATTGCTGCAAAAAGAGAATTGAAAAAAAACTGAGCAGAAAAATTACAAGACAATGACAGACTGCTCTTCTAACTGCACATTTCGTTTTCTTACATCCATTCATTTACAAGATTCATCCCGAATGGCTTTTTTTTGGTATTTGGGACCAATATACTTGTGTTGGGGATTATGCTCACTGAAGATAATGGCTACGGTAGCGGTAAGATGAATGAGTAAATAATCACTATAACGATTTTCTTTCTGCGGCAGACGACGTGATCACTCCTGACCTTCAGAACGCCGTCAGAAAAAAACAGTAGACCTAAAGGCAGTTGGTCCCCAAGACGACTAGGATTAATACGCCTGGCAGGACGGAATTCCGCGACCCTGAGCAGGCGCTGCATAATGCCTTTTCCAAGGGAGGTGCCCTTATAAGGGCCCTATCAAGCCACAACATACCGACCCAAACGCCCGCCCGCCCACAAATGGACGACCGTTCCTGACGCTCTAATCGATACATTTAACAATAAGCAAATTATGAAGCGAAGGGATCGGTATCAAGCGGCCGTGATGCGGCATGGATATATGAGTACAAATGTGCAGCCGTAC